TGGCGGTCAGTCTTCACAGGGGGACGGGAGTGGCGACGAATATCACAGTAAGAGCATATCTATATATATGTATGTATATATATATATGTGTGTGTGAATGCACACACATACACACATATATATATATACGTACGTACATGCATACATACATGCATGCATACATGCATACATGCATGCAAACATACAACCATACCTACATACATACATGCAAACATACAACCATACCTACATACATACATGCATACATACATGCATGCATACATACATACACACATGCATACGTACATACATGCATGCATGCATGCATGCATACATACATACATACATACCGGTGTACAAACATGCAAGTATACATACATACATACATACATACATACATACATACATACATACATACATGCATACATACATACATACATACATGCATGCATGCATGCATGCATACATACATGCACGCATACACACATACAGACATACATACCTATAAAACTACATATATACATTCATATACACATACAAACTTAAATACAAACATACATGCATGCATGAATATATACATACATACATAATTACTTACATACGTTATATTACAATACATTACATTACATTGCATTACATTACACGACACTACACTACATTACACTACATTACACTACAGTACATTACATTAGACTGCACTACATACGTACAGACATACATACGTGCATACATGCACACATACGTGCACACGTACATACATACATGCATACATACATGCGTGCGAACATACATACATACATACACCCTGCATACACACATATACACACATACACACATGCACCGGTACACACATAAACACACACATACACATACACACACATACATACGTAGATGCATGCATGCAGGCAGGCATGCATGCACACATATATCATATATGCATACATACGTACACACCCATATACATGCGCCCATACATACATACAAACGTACAGGCATGTATACATAGATGTGTACATGCATGTATGTATGCACACATTCATGCATGCCTACCTACATAAATACATACATATATAAATACAAACAGTCATACGTACCTACATGCATACATACATGGGTGCAAACACACACACGTGCGCATTCATGTTCGTTCAAAGCTATATGTAAACACGTGTGTGATATGCATGTAGCAGGTGTGCACGTATGTGTGTGTCTAAATGTGTGTGCACGATGTATAAGCGTGCATGTATCTCAATGAACGAACACATGCATACTTACAGCCAGGTTTGCATCGTCGGCAATGCATGCACACATCCATATGCATTTAATAATCCGCCGGCCCCTGGAGGGGCTGGCAGGCTGCGGGGAATAGGCGTTCCTGCGCAATGCGCCAGCTTCAGTTCCCAATGTTAAAATTAGCCTGGCGAAGGACCCAACCAGATGCAGTTGTCGGAACCGAAGTTGAATGCACCACATTCGGTGCACCTCTCTATGTGGCCACGAAACGTGCGAAAGGTTCGCCAAAATGCATGCGGTAGCCGCATGCGAACGCTGGCATCTGGGCCTTCGCTGGGGCTCCCTATGGGGCCACGCAACGTGCGAAGGGTGTGCCAACATGGGTGCGGTGGCCGCATGCGAAGAATGGCAGTTGGGCCTTCGGTGGAGCTGCATATGGAGCCACGAAGCGTGTGAGTGGGGAGCCAAAATGGACGCGGTGGACGCGTGCGACCGCTGGCATTTGGGCCTTCGATGGAGCTTCCTATGGAGTTACGAGACGTGTGACGGGTGTGTCAACATGGGTGCGGTGGCCTCGGTGGAGCCGTACAAGCCCCACGAATCGTGTGAGGGGTATGCCAAAATGGCTGCGGTGGCCGCGTGTGAGCGTTGGCATTGGGGCCTTCGGAGGAGCTCCCTAAGGGGCCACAAAACGTGTGAACGGTGTGCCAAAATGGATGCGTTGGCCGCATGCAGACGCTGGAATCTGGGCCTTCGGTAGAAGCCCCCCATGGGGCCACGAAACGTGTGAGGGTGTGCCAACATGGGCGCGGTGGCCGCATGCGAGCGCTGGCATTTGGGCCGTCGGTCGAGCTCCCTAAGGGGCCACGAAGCGTGTGAGGGATTTGCCAAAATGGGTGCGGTGGGCGCATGCGAGCGTTGGCGTTTGGGTAGCTCCATATGGGGCCACAAAAAGCGTTAGAGGTGTGCCAAAATATGTGCGGCGGCCGCATGCGAGTGATGGCACCTGGGCCTCCGGTGGAGCTCCTTATGGGGCCACGCAACGTGTGAGGGGCGTGCTTCCTATAGACCACGAAACGTGTGAACGGTGTGCCAAAGCCTCGGTGGAGCGGTCTAAGCCCCACGAAACGTGTGATGGGTGTGGCAAAATGGCTGCGGTGGCCGCGTGTGAATGCTGGCACTGGCGCCTTCGGAGGAGCTCCCTGGGGGGCCACAAAACGTGTGAACGGTGTGCCAAAATGGATGCGTTGGCCGCATTGAGACGCTGGAATCTGGGCCTTCGGTAGAAGCCCCCATGGGGCCACGAAACGTGTGAGGGTGTGCCAACATGGGCGCGGTGGCCGCATGCGAACGCTGGAATTTGGGCCGTCGGTGGAGCTTCCTATGGGGCCACGAAGCGTGGGGGATTTGCCAAAATGGGTGCGGTGGGCGCATGCGAGCGTTGGCATTTGGGATTTCGGAGGGGCTCCATATGGGGCCACAAAACGCGTGAGGGGTGTGCCAGAATGGGTGCGGTGGCCGCATGCGAGTGATGGCACCTGGGCCTTCGCTGGAGCTCCCTATGGGGCCACGCAACGTGCGAGGGGTGTGCCAACATGGGTGCGGTGGCCGCATGCGAGCGCTGGCAGTTGGGCCTTCGGTGGAGCTGCCGGTGGGGCGACGAAACGTGTGAGGGGGTGCCAAAATGGATACGGTGGGCGCGTGCGAATGATGGCACCTGGGCCTTCGATGGAGCTTCCTATGGAGTTACGAGACGTGTGACGGGTGTGTCAACATGGGTGCGGTGGCCTCGGTGGAGCCGTACAAGCCCCACGAATCGTGTGGGGTGTGCCAAAATGGCTGCGGTGGCCGCGTGTGAGCGTTGGCATTGGGGCCTTCGGAGGAGCTCCCTAAGGGGCCACAAAACGTGTGAACGGTGTGCCAAAATGGATGCGGTGGCCGCATGCAGACGCTGGAATCTGGGCCTTTTTTGTAGAGCTCCCTATGGGGCCACGCAACGTGTGAGGGTGTGCCAAACTTGGGCGCGGTGGCCGCATGCAAGTGATGACACCTGGGCCGTCGGTGGAGCTTCCTATGGGGCCACGAAGCGTGTGGGGGATTTGCCAAAATGCGTGCGGTCGGCGCATGCGAGCGTTGGCATTTGAGGTTCCGGGGAAACTCCATATGGGGCCACAAAACGCGTGAGGGGTATGCCAAAATCGGCGCGGCGGCCGCATGCGAGCGATGGCACCTGGGCCTTCGCTGGAGCTCCCTATGGGGCCACGCAACGTGCGAAGGGTGTGCCAACATGGGTGCGGTGGCCGCATACGAGCGCTGGCAGTTGGGCCTTCGGTGGAGTTTCCTATGGGGCCGCGAAACGTGTGAATGGGGTGCAGGAATGGATGCGGTGGGCGCGTGCAAGCGCTGGCATCTGGGCCTTCGATGGAGCTTCCTATGGAGCCACGAAACGTGTGAGGGGCGTGCCCGAAAAGGGTACGGTGGCCTCGGTGGAGCCCTATAAACCCCAACGAAACGCATGAGGGTTGTGCCAAAATTGGCGCGGTGGCCGCGTGTGAGCGCTGGCACTGGGGCCTTCGGAGGAGCTCCCTGAGGGGCAACAAAACGTGCGAACGGTGTGCCAAAGTGAGGGGGGCAACGGGAGGAGAAGAAGCGGGAAGAGGAGAGCAGACTCGGGGACTGTATCTTCAAATCGAGGACCCAACGCCACAGGATGGTTGGGAAATACAAATGCTCTATTTTCGAATCCCATGGTTGTAAAGATTGAACTCCCGCGAAGTGGGTCCAATAACGCCTGATCGACCCTCCGAGAAGAATCACATCTCATAATTGTTCTGGGAGGGTTGGGACACGCCAAATAGAACACAATCGCGCTCCCGAAGCCACAGCTCCTCTCAAAGTACAACGAAGTCGCACTCTGGACGCCACAATCCCTCGAAAACTACAACAGGTTCGCGCTCCCGACGCAACACCCCCTCATGCATTACGACCAGCTTGCGTCCCCGAGGCCACACCCCAGAGAAAATACAACGAACTCGCGATCCCGACTCCACGTTTTTGGTAACATACCATACGTTCACGCTCCCGAAACCGCAATCCTTGGTACATTACATCCCTTGCGCGCCCCCGAAACCACAATCCCTTACCATGTATTACAAATCTGCGTCCACAAAAAAACACTGCTTAGCAGACTGAAGCGCACCCGCGCTTCCAGAGCCGAGCAACTGGCATCCTCTGTGTTGGGATATGTGTTCTGGGGGCGCTTTTCGGCCCCGCTGCCATTTCCTGGGAATTTGGCCCTCGGCCCGAGGCCACGAACACACGAGAATAGCAAGGGGACGCGCGCTCCCGAAGCCGCGAGGCCTCGGAAGTTACAGTGGAAGCGCGCTCCCGAGGCCACCACCTCCTAGTAATCACTGCAGACGCGTGCAACCAGCCAACCAGCATCCAGCCAAAACCAACTGCCAACCATCTGTTTGAGCAGGACGCCAATCAGCCGAGCGGCCAGCCAGCCAAACGATAAACCAACAAACTAACCAAACGAACAGGCTTGGCCATGCAAGCAGTCAGAGTGGCGCCGGCGGCAGAGGGCGAAGCCTGCCAGACGTATAGACGTAACTCTCTACATATGAGTATCTATATACTTACAAGAAAAAAGAAAGAGAAAGGAAAAAAGAGCGAGAGAGAGAAGGAGCGAAAGAGAGAGAGAGAGAGAACAAAAAGAGAGAGACAGAGAGAGAAAGAGAGAGAGAGATGGGTAAACTGTACGCCACACCAAATATCTGTCGGCACAATAGACCACTAGAATACGTCTCGCATTACAAAACGTAAGCCCATCGCCTAGTCACCTACAGGACCAAAGGGGAGGAGGAGAAGGCTTGTCGACCGCCTCCGCGCTCACGTGCGCCCGGGAAGGGGGACCAGGCCTCCAAAAGCAGGCACAACCAGCAAGTCTGGCCTTGTTACGACCTTTTTGTGGCCAGACGGAGGTCTGCTCGCTCCAGGACACGCCCCAGGGCTCCAAGACCCTGCTTGCAAGGCGTTGCCTGTGGGACTCGAACCTGACTTCTAACCCCTGCGCGAACGAAGCCGAGCTGCCGAGTCAACCGCACCAGAAGCAACCAAAATGGTCCCAGGCCTGACGACGAATGTTGAGGTTCAGAGGGGAGGAGGAGGGAGAAGGGAGGAGGGAGGAGGGAAGCGTCTCCTGTCGAGGTTCAGGGTCTTGTAGATGTTCTCGCCGAACCGCCTCCGCTGCCCCTCCGTGACCCGCAGCCCAGGGTCCTGCTCCGCCGCCGCCGCCCGCAGCCTGGAGAACTTCCTCGGTCGCGCGAGGCTTCTCCCCCCCCCCGGACCCCTGGCGCACACCCGGAAGCCTTGGCCGGGGCATCGAGGAGGGCAGAGGGAGGTGAGGCAGCCTGCTCCATGCCAGCAGCCTCTGCACTCCTCTGGAGCTGCCCCAAGAAGGGGGCCCGCAGCACGACGTGCTCCGTTGGGTACCATCCAGAAGAGGAACAAGAGGAGGAGGAGGAGGAGGAGGAGGAGGAGGAGGAGGAGGAGGAGAAGGAGGAGGAGGGGGAGGAGAAGGAGGGGACTGACATGGGGCAGGTAGGAGGGGAAGGTGAAGAGGAGGAGGAAGCAAAGATAACCTCCACAAGAAGAGGTCCAATGGGGAGAACAGGAGATGGAGGGCCCCAACAAGGGTTAGCAGAAGAAGGAGAAGCAGCAGGAGGAAGAGGGCAAAGGAGAAGGAGAGGGTACGGAGGACAAGGGGGACCAGGAGAAGGGGAAAAGGAGAAAAAAAGGAAGGAGGGGAGGAGGGCGAAGGAAAGGGGGAATGCGAGGAGAAAAAAGAGGAGAGGGTGGGAAAAGTGACCCACGGATCCACAAATCTCCACAAACATCGAAAATCAAAGAAAAGTTGGAGGAGGAGGCAGAGGAGGAGGCGGAGGAGGAGGAAGAGGACGACGACGACGACGACGACACGACGACGACGACGACGGAGACAACGACAACGACGACGACGACGACAACGACGACGACGACGACGACGACGACGACGACGACAACGACGACGACGACGGCGACGACGACGACGACGACGAGGCGGGAAAGGAGGACAAGGCGGTGGGGACGGTAGGAGGAGAGGAAGGAGGAGAAGGGGGGCGAGCGGAGCGCAGGGGAGAGGGGAGAGGGAAGAGAGGAGAGGAAAAAGAAGTGTGAGCCACAGTGAAGGAAAACTCGCAGAACACTTGAGGGTCGACTCGGGAACTGCGGGGGAAAGAGGAGGGGGAGGAAAGATGGAGAGGAAAGCAAGGGGGGGAGGAGGCGAAGAGAGGGAGGGGAGGGCGATGGCCAAGGAGCAGGGGGATGGGCGAGGGGGAGGGGAGGGAAAAGTGAGACTTCCATATGGGTCACTTCTTCCTCCTCCACCTCCTCCTCCTCCTCCTCCTCTTCTCCTCCTCCTCCTCCTCCTCCTCCTCCGCCTCCTTCCTCATCATCCTCCTCCCGCTCAGCTTCCTCCCCTCCATGTCTACTCCGTGCGAATGCTGATCTCCTCTCTCATCCGACCGACGGCCGCTGAGTGGCCCGCACCCCTCGCGCACTGCGTATAGCCCTTGGACCCCCAGAGGCTCTGCCGCACTGCGTTCACACAGGATATCACAAGTTTGACTCTCGTATTGTCTGTTTGGGCCGGGACGCATTTGATGTCTCAGAATGGTGCTCCAGCTGCAGCGCTGGCCTCATGGTAGGATCCCGACGTTGCTCTACCATCGCCAGCACGGCACCCTCGCCCCCACGCGCAGCACTGTGCTGGATCTGAGTGCCTCCTCACCGTTGTCGCCCCGAAACTGTCCCCTCCCCCACACTCTCATGATGCTCCTGCTCTTCGCACTTGTGCTCCTGCTGCTGCTGTTCCTCGTCGTCCTCCTCCTTTCTCCCCTCTCCTCCTCCTCCTCCTCCTCCTCCTCGTCCTCCTCCTCCTCCTCCTCCTCCTCCTCCTCTTCTTCTTCTTCCTCCCCTTCCTCCTCCTCTTCCTCCTCCTCCTCCTCCTCCGCCTCCTCCTCCTCAGGCTTCTCCTCCTCCTCCTCCTCATCCTCATCCTCGTCCTTCTCCTCGTCACCATCATCATCATCATCATCATCATCATCATCATCATCATCATCATCATCATCATCATCATCATCATCATCATCATCGCATCATCATCATCATCATCATCATCATCATCATCATCATCATCATCATCATCATCATCATCATCATCATCATCATCATCATCATCATCAT